CAGACTTAAGGCAACTTATCGCTGTAACGATATCAGTAACGTTGAATGATTTACTGATATCGTCACCAACGCCATCAGTTTTTTGTGATTTTGGGGTCCTACTGGAACGGCGTGTTGGTCTGCCATTAACAAGTAGTTGATGTGCTATCTGGTTTGCGGTGACTTGGCTTGGCGGTGCGGGTTGAGGGGACTCACCGGTCAGCTTTCGAATCGTACTCCAAGCCTTTTTACTGTTGTGAGTCATGTCGATGCTAGTAACAGTATTCGTCCACCTCTCTCGTCTGTTTTCGCCTAGTTTGGATAGCAACAATTCTCCAGCAAGTGTGGTTGCCTCAGAAAAAGGATCGGATCGGAACAGTGATTCGTATCGCGTCAGTAATTCACTGGAATCTGTTGACAGCCCCGGGATGTAGGAAGTCCTGCAGCCCCTTGGGATGTGTCTTCGGGAATAAGTTGACACGATCTCGACAAACTGGTCGTAGTTGTGCGGGGTTGGTGGGACATTCAACAGGGCGTCATCGATCGACTGCGTAAACGACTCCCAATCAGCCTTGGCATAGTTGAATCGGCGCTTGAAGGGGACATTTATAGATCGGACCACGGATTCGATGCAGCACATAATTGGTCTATGTTGAGTGCGAGGAATAGGTGAACACACTCTTTTAGTGCACTGTGAGCTGATAGAAGAGCTAGCGAAGATTAAATCAGGATTGTACCCGCGTTTCCAGCGACCACTGTTGAAAGAGGCCGGTTGTTTGGCGTCATGGATTAGTGCCAAATCATTCGACTCAGCCCATTCTTCGACTGCATCTCCACTCATATCCGTGTCGTTGTAACCCCAGTTGGTGCTGCGGCTGTTAAAGTCACCGATTACAACTTTAATTGGCTGGCTACTAAAGTTCTCTGGCGGAGTGAAGTTAAATGTGGTGCCGGGTGGTTTATAAATGGAAGTGATGGAGCAATTACCAACATCTACTGTGATAATTTCTATGCCGTACTCGTTTGAGCATTTGGTGGAAAGTATGCTTACGCCTGGAGCAGCAAACACTGCGTTACCGTGCTTTGGGTGACAGATCTCGGCGATAAGCGTGAGTCCATCGATGTGTGGCCGGCTTTGGGTTTCATCTCGATGGGTCTCTTGAACGCAAAGAATGTCGCAGCCAGTTTTGCGGCATAAATCGGAAAGAATTTCCGATTTATCTTGAGAGAACCCTTCGATGTTAATCGAGACTACGCACAAAGCCGGTGTTATTGGAGGACTTGGAATTGTCATCGTGGTAAAAGGATTAGCCAGTCAGCGTGGGGATTCGCTGACTGCCCAGGGTGCGCCGGACGTATAGTAGATCAGTGGATACGTCACTCGGGGAGGCTCCTTTCTTGCACCCCCAAATCTTGTACCGATACATAGATGACGCCTCGTAAATGTTAACAACCTCTATTAAATTACAATATGAATTTACAGAATATATTTATATAAGAGTGTTTTATATTTGCACAATTATTGTAAAAATTGTCTATTAACCATTCTCTTGATAACAATGATTTAGTAATTAATACTTTTTAATTTGATAGCGTTATGCTACTGGAATGATGTTTTAAGATTGTTGTGTGATTTTAACCATCAAGTCTTTATAAAACATTAAAAACCAAGCGTATTTAATCCATAAAATAAGTTTTATGGTTATATTCAGTAGGAAAGTATTAAAATTCAAACATTAAAATTTAACTAAATAATAACCAACCAAATTAGATGACTAAAACATCAACTGGAATGCGTTCTGATATGTAACTAGTACTCTTTTAAAATCATGTTCTTGATATATTTAATTTGGAAATATTTTTTACTTGAATCAACTTAGAAATAAAAATATAGTATAGTTAAATTGTTATTTCATTTAATAATTTAAAAAAAATTGGTGAAGTTGTTCTAAAGCGCGGAACGCACCTCAACGGCTCTACATTTGTCAAATTCATCCGGCCATTAAAGAAAAACATTAAATTGCAAGTAAAATTGCAATATTATTATTTGTTTACATACAAATAATTACAAATTCGATTATATTATATTTCCGAGTGTGGTTAACAATAATATTGTGCGCCGTGGATCCTAACATAAGTGGTAAGTACGTAGCAGTTTGTTATTATTTTTACCAATTACGCGAAAAAATTAATCGCAAATAATTTATTTTTCTATTATTATATCAATTTTATGAGAGCATTGTTTATAAAAATAAGAAAGGAAATCTGCTTTAGTGAATATTACGTGTTTTTCCGCTGTATTTAATGTTTGCCGGATCGTGTTATGCAAATGGAGATTTTGCTAATGTTTCTTTTTTTTAACTGCTGACACTGTTTAGTAAACTCACTTGACAAATAAAAAAGAAAGTATTTTTTTTCTCTCATTTCATGGTTCTGACGTAATTTTTTGTTTTAATTGAAAAAGCTGGTAATTAGCCTTATGCCTTACTACATAAACTAAAAGCTGATTTTTTAATTGCATAGAAAATATTTATAGTCACAAGTATATAACATATTTAGTGGTTATAAACTGCAACAAGCAACTTTTGAATTTTTTAAGACATGCTTAAATCTAAACATTATGTTGAAATTATGTTCAGAAAAGAATAGTTTAATTTCAAGCATTAGAAACACTTATTGAATTATTAAGTTCTTTGAAGAAGAATCAATGAGAAGACCAAACTGTTTGTTCTATCTTATTCATTGCAAACTGGGTGGTTAAATATACATGACAAAAGTGTCATTACATAATGTCCCACAGTACAGTTTGACTCTCGCAGTACTGTTTTCCAATGATGTCCAGATAACATAAGCTTTATATTATCTCCCATCTCATTTTTTGGTGCCATTTCCGTTTTTTTCCATTCATATCGTCATATTTAAGGCTTAAAGGCTGTTGAGGAGGAGAAATGGGGAGGTATCCAGAAACAAACTTTGCATAGCTGGTATTGTGAAGTCTAGAACACAGATATATCATCACAGTCTTAGAATAGTGTTGGATCTCACATTCATCGAACTTTACATTACCAGCCATTTCATATAATTATGTTAGTTTTTTGATATAACTTTTTGAAATTCTAAATCTGTAATTATGAAAATTGGCATACAAGTGCAAAATAGGGTTTGTTTTAAAATGCAATAAAATATTAATAAATACACAATTTTTATTTCACTTTGAGCGCCTATCAAACAAACACTAAGTAATGTAAAATTTAAAATACATAAAAAAAATCTTGAATGTAGTAATAATATTTAGACAATGGAGTATCCAAATATGGTAAAAACTGAATTTTGTATTTGTTTCAAATTGTTTTTTTTTTTTTGGTTTTATTTTTGTTTTGTTTGTATTTTTTTTTATTCTATGATCATGGCAATATTTTATGTGAAGGAAGCCATGAAAGGCAGTGTAACATGAATAAAGAACAATAATAATTGTTATATTATTGAATGCATACAAAGATTATTTAACCTATTTGAAATTTTACTGTAGTATTTCCGGTCTGATACAACCTCCAAGACTTCAATAAAACATGTACTCCTACTTCAGAGGCAGATAATGTGACTTCTCATTTGCAGGAGTCTATGGATAGTGACTTTCTACAAGGGGTGGCATAAAATCACAATCACCCATCATAAATTATATGATTTAAAAATAATATAATCACTCCTGTGACTATCGCTACCTATGATTATTCTAGCACCAGGCCTTCACGAAAGGCCTAAGTCTATAAAAAAACAGTTTTTAAAAAGTTTAGTTTTTCCTTGCTTAAGGCTTTGATGGATTTTATCCTGGTCAATGACCAAATCCCAGTAGTGATCACTACATTATATGATTATGATTTAAAACTAGCAATAATTTTCATAACTTTCTATCAGATGTCTTGTCTCCTCTACTGCCCCCTTTTTTTTTTTTTTTTTTCGTGCGGAAATCCCCTCGGATACCACCTATCGGTGGCATGTCGGACTCGAACCGACTAAAACCGCACGCCGTCTCGGGTACTAATAGCCGGGGAACCAGGTATACCCTAGAAAGGAAGTCCCTGGTGCCCAACTCTACTGCCCCCTATCCATACTAATATTATAAATGCGAAATTGTCTATCTGTCTGTCTGTTGCCTCTTCAGGCTTAAACCACTGAACTGATTTAAATGAAATTTGGTGGTTAAAGTCCTGGAAAAAGACATAGTTTTTATCCCAGAAATCATCCTTTAAGGGGGTGGAAGTTTGTATGGGGAATCATTAACTGCTGTACCGTTTCAGATGAAGTTTGGTAAGGAGATAGTTTGATTCTTGATAAATTACATACAGTATCATATAAAAGCAACATTGGTAGGGCAGGACTTGATTTTTTTATTTAAAGATAAACACAAAGGGGGTTTTAAAAACATACATGTAACGGACATAAAGAACACCTAGACTCGGAACAACAATTTGTGGATCACACAAAGTGTTGTCCCATGTGGGGATCAGACCCACAACACTCAGCGTAGTAGTAAGCGGCGTGGCGACCGCTTAAACCACTAACGCCATTCGTACAGTTGTTTATCCTCTATTAAAAAATAAAAAAAATCGGTTGTCTGTAAAGTCGGTTTACTGACGATAGTTGAACGTGACAACGTCATAAGAAAATACTGATGGAATGGTTGCATTTTTCAAAAATGTATTATTGTATACGAGTAGCAGCTGTCCACGCGGACGCATCGCTCACTCAAGTAGGAGAGAGACAGATGTCGAACGCTGCCGAACGCGGAGGCCGATTGTGCCTCTTTGTCACTCGTGCCGCGCTCTCGCTTGCACTTCACGCCTTAAATGGAACGCCTCAGAGCGAGGTAACGCCGCATGAGTCATGTTTTTTCTTGCGTGCAGCCGGCTCCATCGAATTATAAGACGTTGTCACGTCAAAAACAAGATCACGACCACCTCAATAGACTATAGCTAGCGATAAAACCACTTTGTTATGAGGCCATGTTGTTTTCAGTAAACATGTGCACTCCGGAAGCGTGGCGCGGCGGGGTGGCGCGGTCACCCTCACACGAGTCGGTCACCACAGACTTATCGTTGTTCAGTGTGTCCTCGGCCGCATCAGACGCCAGGGTCCTACGGCTGCTAGCGTGCAAGGTACTAGACTAAAACATCTTTTATTAAAGGTCCACTGTGAAAGGTGACTTGACGCAATGCGTTGTTATTTCAGGCAGGCCAGGGGCCAGATCCGTCTCTCCGTGTTGCCAGCCCAAATCCAGATAGCAAAACACTCAAGTGAGTTAGCTAAGACATTTTTTGTAACTCTTCTCTCCTCATTTACTTGTGACAACTTCCACATACAATGAAAAACATACTACAACGCCATCTATCAAAGACACACCGAACTATGGAGTAACTACTAATCCTACATCGCGCAATTGAAGTTCTCGCGCCGATTAGTATAATTCCGCTTTTTTCCGTGGTACTGATCATAATGTTGGGCCCGTAATCATCTCGCCTAGGTGGAGGAGGCTCACCAAAAGTACAACATAAATGCCTTCTTTGCATCTCTAAAGCATACGTTTAGCAGTTTTCGGCTACATCTGTTCACATCACGCCTAATAGCCGACGCAAAAATTTAACACTCAACCAAGGCCGGCTCCAGTTTTGAGAGGTCATGGAAAACCCCTCCTCGGGCGTCAAATAGGTAGGTAGCCGTGAGTGACTACACAAATATTACCCCCACGCCCCTCTAAGTTGAAGCTGCTGTTACAACTGCATCTTAGAAGTTGATGCCATTTTTGAGCTCTTCAAACATCTATGGCAATTCTTGTGGTATTAGGTCTACACTAGATTTCAGACCAAAAGAATTGAATAAGTTTCTAAAAGGGGAATAGATAATCAGCAAAGTTTTACTCCCTTTTTGTCTAGGAGGCCATCCTCCTCCCTGCCCCTGCAGTCCACGGACAACTGCCGGGAGCTCCTGGCTGGCTGCGCGGCGCTGTGTGCCCAGCTGGGGCTGCGGCGATCCTTCAGCTGCTCCGATGTCAGTGCCGCTAAGGAATCTGCTCATCCTCTTCGAAGGTATGTGTATTCATCTTTCTGTTCTGAGACTGGACGTGAAAGAAACTTCCACCTTTTTACAGTAGTACAATTACAGAAGACATACAATTAGTTTAGATAAGTAAATGAATGCTGTAATAAGTAATTTTTTTTTTTTTTTTTTTTTTTTATTTATTTATATAGGACAACTTACAAAACATACACTAATACATAATTTACAAACATGTTTAAAGCCTGAACTAATAAATAATTTAAAGCCTGACGCCATTGTGCGTTATCATTAGGTTTGAGAACATCATACTCTCTTCCTCCTTACCTAATTAGGGTGGGAGGGGGGGGGGGGGGGGCGGTGCCTGGCAGTGGTAGTTACTTATTGTAAGGTGACTTGTCTGCTCGTTTACTGGTCTTTACCATCTAGGGTAATGGTTATTTTCTGGGTTATTGAAATTAATTTTACTAAGCTAGCTTTAATTCCTTTTTTTGTGGTTTTTAGGTACTTTTCTGTGATCCAAACATGTCTACGATTTATTCTCTCAGGTTTAATATGTTTGTTTAATTATTTAAATTTATTATTTTATGATGATGTGTGTTGTCAACACTTTCAATTGAATACAACAATATCCATACCCACATTAATTAAAAAAACATTTGCTAAGTTACCTATAAATTAATGGAAGTCAATTTCAACCGTGACATATAAGTATAGAGTGAATAAGACTCCCAATCTTGCAATATAGGCAATGAGAGAGATGGATAATAGATAGTTCCCTCTATCTCTTTCTAGTCGAGCTCTGTGGATGGCGAAATTTCTAATCTCAAGTCTGTTTATGATTAAAATCATGCCCACTTCATGATAGCCAATAAGCAGCTTAGCTAAACACAGACAGAGGGAACTATCGGGTATCCACTTACAGGCAGCTGTACTCTGTGTTCTCTCTATGGTTGGTTTTTTTTTACTTGGAATGATCGCATTGACATGTAACTGTAAGCATAATATATGTAATTTGGATGACAATATTATAACACGTATTTTGTCGCTAATCTGCTTGAACCAGGAGACGTATAATGCTACTCGGTACGTACAGAAATCTCACTCTGTAAACGTTTAAAGGAATGTCGACTTTAAGTGGTACGTGATTGAGTCCATATTCGTTGGGAAGTTGTAAAGTGCCAATGGGGTTGATATCTGTACGAGTGAATGTGGTATTGCAGCGCGACTTCGGAGGTGGGCCTGTGCGCGGCGCTGGAGGCGCTGACGCTGAGCGCCGCCTCACGGTCGTGCAGCACGTGGGTCGCCGGTCTGTACTCGCTACTCTTCACTCATCATTACACCAATTCATCATCATCAACAGCCTTACATAGTCATGGCAATGACATGGGCCTCTCCTTAGAAAGAGGTTTTAGCCTACTATAGGCCAGACTGGTTGGTATAGGGTTTGTTTGTATGGACGTGGTGGGTTTCCCCTCCACCCGCATTAGTTTGGCCAGCCGCGAGGGGGCGGCGTCCGCGTGTGCCGGACGTCGCCTAAAGAGAGGATAATTTTGAGACCGAGCCCGCACCAGGAGCGGGCTGGCGCTAGGAGGGGTCCGGATGTCTTAACAACAGCTGTTCCCGGATCCCTCCTGTTACAGGCGCAGAGTGGCACACCGTGTGGTTTTAGTCGGTCCGAGTCCGACACACCACCCCACCGCAAACCCCGGAGGGGTGACGGTCCGAGGGGATTTCCACACGTTAAAAAAAAAACAAAAAGGGTTTGTATCAAGTTTTCCATCGTCCTTACGAATTAATCGTAATAAAAGTATTTATAGAATTAATTCAAAGTCTCGCATTGATAACCAATTTAAAAAAAAAACGAGACCCTGGTAACTTAGTAAAAAGTTATAGGAATCACATAAAAACTTAATATCCATATTGCGAGGCCTAACATAAACCAGTCTGCCGTCACCAGCTAAAGCCATGCAGATGCGTAAGACGACTTACCAGACAAAACTCCTGCAAAAAAACTAAAAGAAAGAATTAATAATAAATTAAAACTGATAGATATCATTAACGCTCAGCGCGAAAACAGATTATTAAAATTGCCACTTTGTATTTCCAGTGGGAGGTTCACAGCTGCCCTCCCCTCAACGTTCTCAAACGGCTCAACCTCCGCATCGATCTCTGCCCAGTGACAATAAGAAAGTAAGGATTATAATTAATTTATTGTTAATAAGTAACTTTTAATTAATTAATTTGTCAATATGATAACACAGGCTCACAAAATTTTGTCGAATTTCAGACCCAGAAAACAGAATATCATTTTGGTAGGGTTTTTGGTGTGCTGAATCCGAATCTGAGGTCTAAATTACATAATCAGCTCGGGATTCTATGATATTCTAACCGAAAAGTGCAAAAATTTCAGGTTTTGGAAATTATTTTTTATAAAGACAACTCCCGCATTAGGAATGCATCCTGTGTCGCGAGGGACACAAAGAACACCCAGACTCAGAACAACAATTTGTGGATCACACAAAGTGTCGTCCCATGTGGGGATCGAACCCTACAACACTTAGTGTAGTAGTGAGCGGCGTGGCGACCGCTTAAATCACTACGCCACCCGTGCAGTCAGGTTTTGAGGTTATGTAGCATCGTAACATAATTTTTCGTCTAAAAACATCTTTAAGGATAGGCCTTAACCTTTTAAATCGCAGTGAGTTTTACTTTTTGGGTTAGAATATCTCAGAAACCAGATGCAGCGCACCAAAATCCTTCAGAGAAGTATGCTCTGGTTTCTGGGTCTCAAAGTTGTCGGACTGTCGGTGAAAGTGTGTTTGTCATGCCTTAACCACATAACTCATTTTAAACATTCTTACACTATAAGCTATATAATCAGCGCAAGCTATATAAGGGGGCAAACGATCAGACGGGTCTGATGGTAAGCAACTACCGCCGCCCATGGACACGTGTAACTCAAAAGTAACAAGTGCGTTGCCGCCCTTGGAGTCCCTCTCGCTCGAGTCAGCGGGAGGGGAGATTTGGGCTCCGGTAACCTCACTCACTCAGTGAAAGGCAACGAAAGAATTGCTTAACACCGGTTTTCTGTGAGACCGTGGCATCACTCCGGTCGAGCCGGCCCATTTGTGCCGAAGCATGGCTCTCCCACGGTAGTTACTTAAAAAAAAAAAAAAAAAAATGTATATTTCTTTTACTAAATGTACAGAAAAATTACAGGTGCGAACAAACTATATAAAGAGAAGGTTGCTGACCACATACAGAGCCTTGGAGAGGATGTCGCAGTCAGACTTCAACTTGGACAGGCTGGAGGTGAGAGCTTCCCTTCAGTGTTTAGACATGGGATGCCTCTTAGTGGGGTATTGTAGGATTACAGCTCTGCTCCTTAGAGTTGTTAAATACTTCCGTGTGGTGACGGATTAAGAATACAAATTGTCACCACCCCAATTCATCCCGTGGGTGTCGTAAGAGCTGACTAAGGGACTAAACTACGCAGGACAACAGCACTGCACAGAGAAGGAAAATTTGACACAAACCCTATATCAACCTGTCTGGCCAGCGTGGTATAGTAGGCCAAAACCTCCTTTGTAAGGAGAGGCCTATGTCCAGCAGTGGACTAGTATAGGCTGTTGATGATTGATGTTAAATACTTCAAAAACCTTATCGTCTGTTTTTGAGGAAATTTTTGGGGTGTCAAATGAAAAAAAAAATCTTCAAATTTCACTGGTGTACCCAGATTAGACCTGTTTAGTAAAAAAACTTATTCAGTAATATTTATTTACACGGGACTTTTAAATGGGACTAATCCCCACCACTGTAATTCTTGAACACCAGGATCAACAGCGGTGACCCATGAGCACACCAAGTTAAGACACTTGGGAAGTCCCAGGAAAAGTTTAACTATATTGGAAATTAATCACAAGAAAATTGCAGGAGTTTTAAATATTATAAATCCACTTCCCTTCTTGGCAAAGCAGGAGACAAAATGATGTTAAAATTAGGCAAACACCCTTTTAAACGGGGAAGATCACAAAATATCATGGGTCATAAGTGAGCTATATATGATTTCTATAATATGTATGGCAGAATCGCCTAAACGCACGGAAATTCACCCTAGTTGACACAAGATCCCCATAGTATACCGCCCCAGATGTCACCTGCAAGCTATTCAGCATTATATTACGTTCATTATATGGCGTAGTGGTTTGTGTAACGGACTGCTATTCCAAAGGTCGCGGGTTCGATTCCCGCTCAAGTCAAACGTTTGTGTGCATGAACATTTGATGTTTGATTTGGTCTGGGTGTTTCTATGTATAATATGTATGTATTTACAAAAAAAAAAGTATATATGTATTTATATGAGTTGTCTAGTACCCATAGTACAGCTCTGCTTAGTTTGGGACTAGATGGCGTTGTGTGTATGTGGTAGAATATATTATTATTATTATTATACCCAGAGGAAATAATGAGCAGACTGTGCACAGTTAGAGCATTGACATTTATGTGGATGTTTCTATCTTCAATATTTAATTTAAAAAACTCATAGTACAAGTTATGTTTAGTCTTAAAGGGGTACTACGGGGATCCCTGATGGGGACCCTGCCCCGATGCTCTTTATCGAGTGCAGCAACCTACCGCATCGACGTCGAACACCATAATTATTTTAGGTCCAGATAGCACTGTATATGTCTCAGGATTATATTTTACAAATAGTACTGGCGTGAAATCAAAGTTTTGTTGTTATGTCTGTGTGTCAGGCGGCTGCAGTGTCGGCGGTGGCCAACGCGGTCTCCGGTCCCGGCCCCACAACACTAGCAGTTCCGCAGGCCAAACATCCACACTCGCGGTTCGTGCACCCCGGTAAGTAGCCAACCTCCCCTCTCCCCCCTCTATTTAAAGGGAGTCAATTGATGAAATGCAACGACGGCATTGCTGCATTCCTAAGTTCAAAGAAAATAGTCTTATAATATCCTTTTATCCAGAAGCGGCCCACCTCGCCTTAACAGCAGCAGATTTAGAGCGCGAACGAGGCCGCCCCCTCTCCAAGTACGAGAGGAACATGATGATATTTAACTGGCTACACACACTCGACGAGGCTGCGCCTTTCTAGAACTCCTGGCACGACCGGTACCACACGGTAAGGGCCGCAGCACCCCCCGGTCACGGCCACCGAGCATCGGTCACATCCGGTCATCTTCGGTACGAACCGGTTAAAGCTGCTAAAAAATACTAATATTATTCGAGAGGCATTATATAGTGTAATTTGACCGGTAAATGTTGTTACCGCACTTTACCGATATCAATCGCTTAGTTATAAGTAGATATTGAATGTGTGCAACCCGTTTGCAACGCGTACGCGACCTTATATAAATGTACCACCGTTCCTAATTAATTGGTCGTAAAGATACAATATAATAACTATACCAAAACAATAAAATAAATGAAACTATACGAGAAAAATGATATTTAAAGCTTGATGTTATGATCGCTGCACAAGCTATACAGGGTGTAAGGGACGTTGAAACGAATACTGAACTAGTGTATTCAGACCATCATTTTTGGGTCGAAAGTCACTGGAATTTTAAGTCGGAAAATTCATTTTTTTTATTGTTAAAAATGATGACAAATAAAGTTACCATGAGTAAACAGAACATTTACCGAAAAAAAAATCATAAATACCGCATACGGTTATAAACTAAAATGTAATTAATCAAACAGTCGAAGCGCGGGGCCTCCCCCGGCCGCCAACTTCTGTTAGTGTGCGTAGACTGTTTGCACGGAATATAAACGTAGTTTTTACTTTTGTGCGATACCAACGGGGAATGACCTTAACTTTTGACAGCTGATTGCATGAAGCGTTTAATTTTCCAATGATTTTCGACTCAGAATGATGTTCTGAATACATTATTTCAGTATTCGTTACACGTCCCTTACACCCTGTATACATAAAATAATGTTTCTAATACATCTATATGTTTATAGCTCACTGTGTATTGCTTACACATGTAAAGTATTTGGGTTTTTTTATTAACAAGTGTTGTGTGTGATATCTGTACTAATATCCTGGCGTTTAAAAAAAAAACTGTATCCGTATCCGGCCTATCTTAAATAGATCTTTTACTTTCAACAGTCTGCTGGACATAGGCCTCTCCTTAAAAAGGTGGTTTTGTCCTACTATACCACGCTGTCCAGACGGGTTGGTATAGGGTTTGTTTCAAGATTTCCTTCTCTCTGCAGTGCTGTTGTCCTGCATAGTTTGCTCCCTTAGTCGGCTCTTACGACACCCACGGGATGAATAGGGGCGGTGACACTCTGTATTCTTAATCCGTCACCATGCGGACACTGATTTAAATATCTTGTTTTAATTATCAGCCAGTTTAATTTAAACCTTCATTAACATAGACTTGTGTACGGTGAGAGGTCGACAATTACATAAATAAAGAATACGGAGTGTCCCCTAGGTAGGGACACTCCGTATTCCTAATCCGTCACCACATGGACTAACAAACTTTAAATTATTACAATTATGATTTCATAGATTTATTTTACGTAAACATAGTTTTTTTTTTAAATTTAATGTAGTGAGTTACTACATATACAAACATCGACCTTAAATTTTTCTTCAATTTGTGTTAAAATGAATGTTTGAATTGAAAATGAAAACAAATATTATTCTTTAATCTGTTTGTGATATCATCATCATCATCATCAACAGCCTATGATAGTCCACTGCTGGACATAGGCCTCTCCTTAAAAAGCACAGCAGTGATATAGTGAGCTATAAATACATAGATTAAATATTTCTGAAGCCCAAGAGTACTGCCACAACTTATAATATACCATATTAGATTATAATAAACATTAAAAAGATTATTTAGGTATGTAATATAAACATAAAAACAAGGTAATAAATTAAAAATCATTTCTTACAACTAGTGATGTGCCGGATATCCGTATCCGTATCCGTATCCGCGGATGTCCAAGGGAGAAGAGAGATCCGTAACCGTATCCGTATCCGTGACTTTTTTGGCGGATCTTTCAATACATAGTACATAGATGAAATTCTATATAGGTGATTTTGTATTCACTGTAAAACTCTTAGGTATGTGTTTGTAACACTATAAACAGCTACTTTTTTTCTGGCCCACCTCAAAATGAAAAAAAAAAATTGGTCCTCCATTCAAATGACCAATCAAATGTTGTTGATTTGTATGGAGAAACAATGTTTTTTTCTTTCGTTTTCGGTGTTAGTCCAGAAGAAAAGTTGTTGTTTATAATGTTACTAATATGCACTTCAGAGGTTTTCAGTAAATTTAAAATAACCCTGAATAATCTTTATTAGGTAGCTATAAAAAACTATTGAATTCTGTTCAGATTACTTTTTATTTCTTAAAACAAATATTTGGCACCTTTGTATTGCAATCATTTATCGTACTACACTAAATCAACTAGGCAGGTCGTAGGTACTGAAAGAGCTATCTTTATAATGAGATCAATCAAACATCTTTGTATTAGCTTATTAAAATAATGAAATATTTAAATGTCAACGGCAAAGCGTCAAGTGGCGACAACTATCAAGGTCACGGGCTCCGATTGATTAAGAAACTTAAGATCCGTATCCGCGGATCTTGACACCAAATATCCGTATTCGGATCCGTATCCGCGGATATACTTTGTTAACGATCCGGCACATCACTACTTACAACTCACACACGGCTGTCTGATCTCAAACTAGACAGAGCTTGTACTATGGTAACCAGACTACTGATAGAAATATTTCTAAACACATACATATTATGAATAAATTACACCCAGACACAGAACAATTGTTTGTGCTCAATATTTGCTCCGGGTCATGGCCCATAGCAGCCAGAGTCACTGACCACTAGAGCGACAGGGCTGTCAATAAAATAATATAATTTTTACTAAGCAATGATGATCTCATTACCGTTAAACATAAAACAAAATGATATCTCTAAGAATCTCCTAATAAACTGACTGTATGGTACATTTTAAAAACAATTGTTCTCAAAATGGGACATTTTATATTGTGCTAGTTTTTCTCGTGTATATCGCTTTAACAAGTACTCTATACACTCATCCATATGCGTTTCTAACAGTGAAAGAATTTTCAAAATCGGATCAGTGGTACCGGTGATTACCCTGAACATACAAACTCATAAACGTTATCTGTATAAAATAATAGTATTATGTAAATTTATTGCACGATACAGGAATATTACTTATTGCTTGTAATGGCATTAAGAAATTTTAAGTAAATTAATTCAACTGTGGCCGTACTCTTAAATTAAATTAGCTTAAATAAATAAATAGCCCATTCCGCGTGATAATACTAGTCGCCTTACAATAATTGTTAAGCTTTAATCGTTCACAGACACCTGTACATATACCCATCCCCACTACTTCCACCCACCAATAATATTTAAATTTAACCTTATGACTATTGAAATTTCATACCCACGGGTGAATAAAAACCCATAGGTATAATCAATTCACACATCTCTCACACGGCCGTCTGGTCCGAAACTAAGCAGACCCTGTGCTATGGTAACCAGACTGCTGATAAACATACTTATATATTTCTAAATACATACATATTATAGATAAATTACACCCAGACACAGAACACATGATCAAGCTCATCACACAATATCTGTCATGGGTGAGAATTGAAAAATAAAATTTCGAAGTGTTTTCAAACATTTCTTGAGATCACAAAAATATATTATTCCTGCGGTTAATTATATATAGGATATTAAATTTATGTGTTTTCGATTTGATATTTTAAACTCAATTATAAATAATTTTTAAATACACGACCATTTGACAATAGCGGTTTATGACGTCACAAGGCATTCTTTCATTTACTATTTTGACATAACAGTCAAAGTGAGTGCTTTTCCTTGTTTAGTTGGAATTATAATATATTTTTATTAGTATTGTAAAGTTTGTTTATAAAATAAAAACATTGTATATATATTAAAGTTTGTATTAAAGTCAAGTTCTAGGTTCTATTCCTAGGCGAGGCTGTAATAGTATTTATAGTTAAAAAAAAACGAATAAAGAGAATCTCTCACTTAAATATTCTTTTAACCTTCAAATAAAGAGCGTCACGCTTAGGTGACGGTAGTCACTTATCATGAGGTTAGACGCTGTAAAAGGAGACGGACGTGTTGTAACAGGAAGTCGAGGAAATCCGTCAGATGGTAAGGTGTGATATGTCAGATGTGACACATCATATGCTAGTACTGTGAGGGAAAACATTTTATTGTATATTTTATTAATTGATCTCTTCGACTGTGAAACATTGTAGAAAACTGTTTATTTGTTGTTTTGAGCATTTGAATTATTTTAACACAGCGCTTATTAATTTGGCCTAAATCTGTATAGTTCCTAAATATTAAATTATATCTATAGTAATAAAATATTGTTTGATTGTTACAGTTTTTTAAATTAAAACTATTTATTTTGAGTTGGCTTTGAAAAATTATTTTTTTGTGTTTTTGATATAGGGTGTTTACCATCACGCTACAACTTTTAGGAGCGGAACAGTAGCCATAAACGGTTGTAAAATTGGTATAATGGCTAGTTGTATGTTTCCTTTATTATAGACCATTTCTTTAGTGTTGTTGTTGTGCGTTTACTCTTAGGTTAGAAATATGTAAGAGAAAAAACTTGGAAATGACAAAGGATTCTTACAAATACAAGAACATCTAAGATTCGCTTTACTTATTGCTGGCTTTCACTCGCTGCTCTCTTTAGAAAAAAAGGAAACGTACGGAAACTGTTTGATGTTGTTCGGTTTAACTGACATCAAAAATGGAGGTTCTCTCTGTGTTATTATTTTTTATGTTTGTTACCTCAGAACTGTATCATTTATGATTAATCAATTTTGATTGTTTTATTTGGGAACGTTTTTACTTGTCTTTTGGTCCCATTCAAATTTGAAGAATAACTCCGCCCCTAAGTAAACTAGGTTACGGACTAAAAAAAAGACACCTCTGTGGTTTGTTTCGGCGTTTCTTCCCAGAGTGAGTCTTAGGAAATGCCGGCTCCTTCTAGCTATAAAGTCCGACATGTAAAGACTTT